TACCTTTAATGGTGATGTGCAGGAGAAAGTTTCAACAGGTGCGGTTTGTATTGAAAGATGCACCTGTTAGAGGATTTTGAAGAGAAAGAGGCATATGTGTCTCCTCATGGGGGGGGCTAAATGGGGGATATACATGACTATCAGGTTTGGGGTGGATTCAGAATGGGCTGCCACCCTATGATCCCACAGGGTCAGCATCCACCTCACACTGGTTTCCCCCTAACCCTGCAGCTTCCCCAGCTAAGTACTAGAAGCCCAAGGCTACCCAGAGTTGCTTCCCTTTTCTTGGGACCAGTAAATCGAGTACGTCTCACCTTCCAGAGATAACAACAGTCCAGCATGAAAGACTAGAACTCAGTTTAACCCGTAGTCATGGTTCCAAGCGGTTCCTTCATAGCCAGATGGGCGGTATAAAAATCAAAGAAATTAATAAGTGGCAAAGACTGGAATTAGGACCACACTGTTCCTCACTTCACTTTTGGGGGGGGGGGGGGTTCTTTGTGTGGGAAGCTTTCTTTTTTATTCAAGATTCGGGGGAAAGAAGCTGAATTGCTGAAAAGGAACACCCATTTAGATTAGTAATTACTATAAATGGGAAAAGTCCAGATCACAATAAATATAGGTAAGGAATAGGTACATTAGGCCCATACATACAAAATTAGGGGGGAAATAGCCTATTCTCAGAAGATCTAATAAGCCATAGATTTCTGAGCTCACCTAGAGCGCAGCGCTCACTGGCATATTTGCATGCGGGAGCTCAAAGCATATACTCTCGCTTGGCGCTTGTGCTAAAGCATACTTACACTTTTTTCACCCTCACTCAGAGGACACCCCTCAGCCGATCCCTGTGGGACTTTCTCAGAAACATCTAACAGATGAGCAGTTCTGCCTGTACCCGCTTTGATTTCTCGTCAGGCTGCAGCAATGAGTTGTGACCCATCTACAGCTGTCCCATCTCAGCTGGTTCAGAGTGACGTTGGGTTCACGCTTGAGAACCAGAGGGCCCTCTCTTGAGAATGGTCAGCAAGGCACTCCATCCTCGCCGGCACTAAACTTGCCTTCCCACTATCCTTTCCAGCAGCTCCAGGGTGGATCTTTTCTGGCTCAGCAGTGATTTTAGCACCTAGCTGCTGCTAAGCATTTTAGAACTTCTCCATAGGCTACGGAAGGGGGTGAAATGATTGAATTTTCCTGCCAGTGGCCACCCACTCTGCCAGGGCAGAGAAACTCCCAATATTACACCAAAGAGCAGAAGTTCATGCCTCATATGGCATGCTCTTTTTTTTGGTTGTGTTTGCTATCCTGGATGTATCATTTGTAGTCTGGACCTCTTGCGCACGTGCCCCTATCTTTTCTCCTCTGCCATCTTGCATTCAGACAGTGATTTTGTGTCCTCTTCCTCCTCTCCTTGTAGAGAAAACTGTTAAGGCTTTTGGTTTTCGCTGAAGTTAAGATGGCTTTCTTGGGTGAAACGCTGTGAGTAGAGATGGCATATTTGTATTCATTTCCCAGGGTGAGGAGACAGATATGACTATCGCCACCACAGATGGCTGAGCCCTTTTGTCCTCTGTTCCCCCCCCCGACAGAACTGGCCGGTCCACTTACCGTTTGTGGTGCAGTGTGCGCGGCTGTCCTCATTTGCCATGCCAGGAATGGTTAGCAGGAAAGCCCCAGCCGGGCTAATTCAGAAATCGGCACGGCTTGAACAAGGACGGCTGCACACGCTGTGTCACAAGTGGACCAGCCAGTTCTGGGGGCGGAGAGGGTCAAAAGGGCCAAGCCACCTGTGGTGGCCATATTCGTATTCACAAATACAAATATCCAATCTCTAGCTGTGGGTGGAAAGGCCACCAGTCTGCTGTGGAAGGCAATTTATGAAGGCAAAATTCTCATAATCTAAACCTTACTGGGGGTGGGGGGATGTAGGAAAGGATTGGATTGACATGTAGTAGTGGTTCCCAACCTTGGGTCCCCAGATGTTCTTGGACTACAATTCCCAGAAATTTTGGCCTGCAAAGCAAGTGGGGAAGGCTTCTGGGAGTTGTAGTCCAAGCACATCTGGACACCCCGAGGCCTGCAACCAAAACCACCACTTTTCACAGCACAGGTCACCATCCTTGCCACAGATCGTGACCAAAACTGAGGGAGCAGAGAAGGACCTCATGAAAGGAGAAGGGACTTCCATGCAAGGCAGATGGGAAAGAGCACGGCGTTGGGAACCACCAGGCTGGAGGATACTGGAATTTGTAGTTCACAAACAGATCTGGCCAGCTCCAGTGGTGACCTTGCATTTGTGATCTGGCTGGATCATGGTTGGAAGCCACAGTTGGGTCATACTTGGGAGGTGGGTTTCCGTCTATCTCACTGTCTTTGTCTTCTCACCTCCCTTTCTGGTTCATGATACTCTCCAAGTATGACTGACAAGTGTTTCTTCCATTTTTTTTCCCACCCTCCCTCTCAGAAAATGCCTGGGGATGAGGTTTGGGTCCCTCGAATCTATTTCCTTCTCCCAACGATGGTTCTGGGCTTCCCTTTCTGAGAGCAGAGCCAGGTATGGGATTTATCAGGCCCAAAGATGATCTATTATTGGACCTTCTGCTTCCCCCACCTTGGACCCCTTGTGGTGAGGAATTGCTGGAGAGCAGTATGGTAGTACTGCACGAATAAATGGGGTCCAAATTGTCCCAGCTCCTCTGCCAATCATTAGAAGCCTATCTCAAATGTCAGAAAAGGGAACAAATAGTTAGTGATTTATTACTTTATTGCAAGCCTTGGCCTCCAAACTGGAGTGTAGACATGTATCTGACCTATTTTCTATTTTAAAAGGGGAGAGGGAGTTTAAATCTTGAAATGTTATAAATTTTAAAAACGGCAATTTCTTTTTAAAATAAATTTTATTTTCCCAACATAAAACTTACAAATAATAGAACAATACATACTGTAAAGCTTAGCCTACAAGCCTTTTGTATAATAATACATTTCTTTCAGCAATGTCTTCTCCATATTATTCATTTTGGTCATTTACTTTCTATTTATTACAAAGTTTTTGTTTTCCACCATTCATAGAATAGGTTCCAGCTTTCGTTCCAGCTTGTAAATTGATTTTTCTTGCCCTTTTAGTCTCTTTGTAAGGCTGTCCATTTCTGCGCACTCTAATATTTTTTTTGATAATCAATTCATCTTTTGATGGGTCTCCCTCTTTCCATACTTCTGCCCATGCTAATCTAGCAGCTGTCAGGACATGTGATATTATATAATAACTTTGCTTATTTACATTATTTAATTTATTTTTATACTGCCTTTCTTCCAAGGCAGGCCTCGAGGCGTCTCACAAATTATTAAAAAGCAAACCAGTTAAAAAGAGGATAAATTATTATTATTTTTTTTTCAGTATATAGTTCCTAGAAGTGCAGGTTTTTCTTCCCCCCCCCCTTTGGTTTTTCCAGTAGCGATGTATGGAAGTGAGGGATGGACCATAAAGAAGCCTGACTGCCGAAGAATTGATGCCTTTGAATTGTGGTGCTGGAGGAGACTCTTGAGAGTCCCCTGGACTGCAAAGAGAACAAACTTATTCATTTTAAGGAAATCAACCCTGAGCGTTCACTGGAAGGACAGATTCTGAAGCTGAGGCTCCTATACTTTGCCCATCTGATGAGAAGAGAAGACTGCCTGGAAAAGACCCTGATGTTGGGAAAGTGTGAAGGCAGAATTAGCCCAGCCCGAAGCAATCAATGACCAAACGCATCCAACCCTGGCTAGACCCATGTGCTCAGGTAGCCGAGCTCTAGCTCGGAAGGATGATTGCTGTGCGAATGTGTGTTTTTTCACCTCCTTGGCTCCATCCGGATCACATGGTGGGAAGCGGAACACAAAGAGGAAAGCCGGTAGCCTTCCCTGTAGGACGAGGAGGGTGCAAAAAACACCCCAGTTTTTTCCTTAATAGTCCACATATGCAAAGACTCCGGGGCGGAATGACGGCAATGCAAGAGAGGTCGTGAGAATCGCACCCGGGCCAGCCAAACGGGCGAAAAAGAAAAACAGGAGGATTTCGCTTCTTGCACGGATTCCCGGTAAGCGCGGCTTTTTAGCTGGGAAGGGAGGACGAGGAGGGTGCAAAAAACACCCCAGTTTTTTCCTTAATAGTCCACATATGCAAAGACTCCGGGGCGGAATGACGGCAATGCAAGAGAGGTCGTGAGAATCGCACCCGGGCCAGCCAAACGGGCGAAAAAGAAAAACAGGAGGATTTCGCTTCTTGCACGGATTCCCGGTAAGCGCGGCTTTTTAGCTGGGAAGGGAAGGAGATATTTGTGGAAACCCCCCCTTCCCTTCCTCCTGGAAGAATTGACTTCTGGGTCTGAAGAACTAGACAATTCGAAGACGGTGTGGTGTAATGGTTAAGGGTTTTTTCCCCCCGACTACAGCTCCCAAAATGTCCCACGGCATGGCCGCTGTTACGCTAGATTTGGACTACGATGCCCAGCATTCCTCCAAAAAGAAGTGTAAAATGGCCAAGTTCTGTTGAAAAGCTACACTTCCAGCCTAATATCCACCTTGCAAGGTTGTTGTGAGGTCCGTGTTTCCAAAAGGTTTTTATCTACTGCAGGCTAAGCTAAATGTAGGATTTCGGTCCCATTGATACTTTGGTACTGTATTTCATCTTGCATTTGTTCCTGTTCTCCTGATTATTTCAGTCACCTGATTTTAAAAACATGCAGCAAGTCCCTTTATATCATCCTACTCTTTAATGCTCGCTTTATCGTTGAAAGATCCAAAATAGTGGGCTTCCGGCATTTATTTTTCTGTTTGGTTCTGTTGCCTTTTGAACTGGTAGGGTCCTAGACCAAATCAAATTTACGTTACTTTGTATTCTTCAGATCCAAAAAATGCAATTGAGTTGCATTGGCTTTTCTTGTCCCAAACAGGGCATTGTTAATTATAGCATTTCTTTTCATCATCATCATCATCAATCATCATGTGTGCTGTCATGTCAGTTCTAACTTATGGTGACCCTTTTTAGGGTTTTTTTAGATAGAGAGTACTCAGAAGTATCCTTCCCTTACTCTAGGGGGAGCCCTGGGACTGTGACCCTTCCCTTACTCTAGGGGGAGCCTAGAGTGTGCAGTTTGCCCAAGGGCACCCAGGCTGGATCTTCTTCTTCCTGGAGGCAGAGTGCAGAATCGAACTCCCAACCTCTACCTAAACCATTGCGCTATCGAACCAGCCACGAATGCTACCTCTGTACATTTCTTCCATGTAACCTCAGTGTCACTAATTAAACACACATTAAAATGCTATAACAAAATATTTCACCTTCCGTCTTCTTCAATCTGCTCTGAATGTTGTATGCAAAGTAGCAGTTATAGATTAGTAAACACAGGGATACCTTCATTAAGTACTAACACAAAAACCAAAAATACAAAAAGAAAGAAAGAAACCTTTCAAGGATTAAAATTAAAAAGGAAACATGTTTTTCCTTTGTTTTGGAATTCTTCTGACTTGAAATTCTCATCCGAGGATAATTTGTTTGGGAATACAAAAAAAATACAGTGCCAAAAAAATTGCTTCAGAGTTTACAGGAGAAAGAACTGGGATCTGTATAAATCCCAATTATGTTCCTTCAGCAGCTACAAAACATGAAAATCCTTCTCTCCTGACTTCTCTGCTTCTTCTTTCATCTTTCTCCTAATGAGAAAGGTCCAGATATGACAGAACAAGAGATCGAAAATCAAATTCTGGATCTCCAGGCTTGGAAAAATCTTGACACTCCTCCAGCTGGCCACTCTGGTGAGTGATTGATATGCAGGTAAATTTGGGATTATAACTTTTGAGGCTGTGTTCTGTACTTCTGCTTAACATGTTACCCCTCTGATGGTCCACACAGAAATCTCAAATGCAGGTTTGTTTGAAAGTCTCCTGCTTTCCATGCAAAAGTCTCCAGTCCTTAACATTTCTAGTCAGAGCTCACAAATAGCTGTTCCTGTTTGAACCCACAAAGAGCCACTACCCATTTTATAAACAAAATACCGAATAAGATGGACTCACTGTTGCATAGTCACACCTGCAGCAGCAAACAGCATAACTTGAAGCAACTTCTCATGGGTAATTAACACTACCTTTTTGACAGAGTAGCGGTAGTACAGGTATACACCAGGGGGCGATAACCAAAAGATCTTCCCTGAGATGATGAAGACACCAAGCACCCGAATAGTGCCTCGTGGCGCAGTGGTTAAAACGCTGTACTGCAGCTAAAACTGTGCTCACGACCTGGGGTTCAAATCCCAGGTAGTGGGTCAAGGTTGACTCAGCCTTCCATCCTTCCGAGGTCGGTAAAATGAGTACCCAGCTCGCTGGGGGGGGGGAATGGGTAGCCTGCATAATTAAAATTGTAAACCGCCCGGAGAGTGCTTGTAGCGCTATGGGGCGGTATACTAGTCCAAAAAATAAATAAATAAATAGTGTTGATAGCAGATATTTTATTATTTACAGAATATACAGGTATATTTACAGCTAGGTCTTTGTTCTCAGTCCCAGAGTAATGCACAATAGTTTCCACAGAGTTTAGTGCATATATCAGAGTCAATGTCCAGTAAATAAGTTCAGTAGTCGTATACCATATGTTCCACCCAACTTGCCAGAATTCCTCTTCAATACCAAGCACGTAGACACGGCTTCCTCCAGAATTCTCAGGCACAGGAACACGATGACTCTTCTCCAGGAACACACCAACAGCATCACCAACAACAACTCACAACAACCCACAGATTGTGTATGCTTGTGCTGCTAGTTTTATCTCAGTATTGACCAATCCTATGATTGCATTCACAGCTGTAACTATTACCTCAGCTGTATACATTCAAGCTTTGCTTCTCTTTACAATACTGATCCTGACAATACTTATCGTCTGACACAAAACTGGATTTAACAATTCTATCAGGTTTAGCCCAAACCTGTCACTTTTTGGATTTTCAGGTGTGCACATATTTGCTTTCTTCGAACTTGCCTGAAAATCCAAGCAGGGTCTCATGATTTGCCAGTGAGAAGTTGCCGCATGTCACACCGTTTGCCTTGAAACTTGTGTCGCCTGCCTCCCAATTCAAGTGCTCAAAGTGGTATGGGCAGCCTCTGTTACTTGAACAGAAATTGGTTGAAATACATTCAGAATTGAATGCCTACTCCCACCTAGCTCTACCCAGATCACCCGTGTGAGTCAGGAGGTGAGGCTGAGGAGCCTGACGCCAAGAGAGGCCCAGAAGGAAAAGACACTAAATCGGGCCTTCTCGGTGGTGGCTCCTCACCTCTGGAATAAACTCCCTCCAGAGATTTGCGTGGCCCCTGCGCTGGGTATCTTTAATAGCCAACTAAAAACATGGGATGTTTATTCAGGCCTTCCCTCCAGTCAATACTTGATTCTCTCTTCTCATATCTTCTTTATTTATTTTGATTTTATTTTCTCGGTTTTTCACATTTTCATTTGTAGATTTATCTAACTATGTGTTTTTATTAATTGTTTGTATAATATTGGAAGCTGCTCAGAGTAGTCATATAGATCAGATGAGCGGGATACAAATCAAATCAATCAATCAATCAATTGCATTCCTGTTATATCTTTCTTTTAATCAGGGTACTTTAATGCAAAACCAAAAGAAGAGGCAGAGGAAGAAGATGGTGGAATGGAAGAAGAACCAGGGATACCAAATCACCAGGGCTCTGAAGAATGCAAAATCCTCTCAGGTTTGTGCTCAGTTGTGGGACACGTTCAGACAACTCTGGGCACAGAGGTGATGAATTGAGAATTTGTTGACAAACATGTTTACAAAATCATTCACTCAAAGGACCTGAAACTGAACCTATTCAGGGCATTGCTATTCAGCTAAGCTAAAGTTGCAAAGATGTGAAGTAAGAAGTGTAATAATAGGAGAAACCACAAAGTCATATTTTCCGATGAGAAAAAAAAAGTTACATTTATCTCAGGGGCATTCCTCAGCCTAAAGCAAACTTAGAACCCCTGAAGATTCACCACAACTTTACATCAAACATCTCTAGAAGCTTTGCGGTAAAACAAATGGGGGGAGGTTGCAGCTGCAATAGGGTGAAAGTATGAGTCCTCTGACCCCATAAATGCGTCCCTCCCCAATATATAGCACTTTTTTTCCTAACATAATACCCAAAAGGGAAAGGATATTCTGATTTTTTAGATTACAAATTCCATCGTTCTCTATTCTGGGAGTTCTACCTAATGGGCAAAGACCTTATCTAAATGTGACTTTCTGAACAGGGAGCTTGGCCTAGTTCCCAGGAAAGAGCCCAACTACCACTGGGGCTGGAATAGAAAGCTTGGGTGGAGTTAGGCCTAGCTCAGCCCCCAGAGCCTTTCACTTGAGGCCTTTCTTCCAGGTGAGC